CACTGTTCTCTTCAATAGTTCTTAACTTTTTTGGAGCCTATCCCCTTAATCTTAGGATTAATCAGATTGAAGATGACAAGTTTTCGAGCCAGAGAAAAAACAGGAAATCGAAAGCACATCACGTGCTACATAGCAAATCTCCGGCAATGGAGACAGAGGGTGGTAATAAGAAGCCCCCCAAAAAAGAAAAGGATAAAATGTATCCTATCGGGGCTATTTTAGCTTCATTTTTGGCAGACCGGGGGGTGATCTCTTTCATCAAAGCAAGCGAAGATCTTGCTGTTAAGAAGAAGAAAGGAGCTTATTATATTCCGAGCAATCTCTATGCGGTCTGTGAATTTTAAATATCGTTACTACCGGTCATGCTAAACCTCCCTATGGTATGCAAGCCTCTTGATTGGACCAGCACGCGTAAAGAAGGCCCTAGAACCCTGTCAGATCTATCTGGTGGATATTTGAGTAATCCAACAAGCGAAATGTATCATCGTTACCGCCTGTTAAGTTCAAGTAACATAAAACAATTTTTATATTAACATTAGTACTGATTGGGGCAATTTTCAGAGACTGTGTGATGTAATGAACATGCTGCAGGGTCAGGCCTTTCAGATCAACAGTGTTTGGTTGAAATATATTAAAGATAATTATAAGTTCTTTGTTGAACATGGTTTACTCAAGCCAAGATTTCTTATCTCTTTGAAAAAAAGTGATGTTTCTAAAACGCTTAGAGATTTGTACATGGTTGATAAGGAAATCAAAAAAATTTAGCTATAGTGAAATCATACAAACAGTATGTAAGGATATACAGTGTGCTCGTTATGAGGATTTCATTTTCAAGCTGGCATCAGCCTAAGTAGAAGATGGAGCAAAGCAGACTTCCCCTGATAGTACTATCAGACGGGAGCTCGCGGTTGTGTGTAGACTACCGAGCTCTTAACAAGGTGACCACAGGTAAAGTGAAGGGAGAGTTGGCCGGGTTGAAAGCAAGTCAGTTTGTGAGGAACCGGCATCTACTTGATATACGTAGCCATTTCCCGATCTGTCTTGTTAAAAGCATGCATTGGGACTTACTGCTTTGTTGGAGATGACTTCTATTGCAGAGAGGGAGCTAAACGAAAGATAGCAAGCATGAACTTTCGCTAGCGACCGAGAAAACCCGATAAAGCTCTGAGAAAGCCTGACTCAAGCCCTTCCTCAGCTTGAAAAAAGCCAGCTGAAGCTTATGCTTCCTTCCCTATCTATTGCCCATGTTAAGCGTTAAAAGCCCTTCTATGGCCTTTGTCGAGTATTATATTATCGAGTTGTAGGAGAGCTTCCTTGCCTAGCCTATGCTTCAAGACCAGTTTCAAGCTTATCACAAGGAACGATTTCTTCTATTGGATTGAGCGAGGGGATCCCTTTCTGTTAATACGGAAAGCAGCCTGGTTGCCTATACTTGGTTGCAGGAAGCTAGTCGAATGCGTGCTCTTGTATCCCTTTCGGTGGTTTTTTTTCCCTTTCCTCTGAGGTTCGCTAGGGCGTGGCATTTAGTTACAGTTAGTAAACGAAGGGAAGGGGGAAGACATTCAATTCACAGAAGAGAATCGGGTCTCATTCGGCGATGCCTCGTTGCAACAACTTCAAAGGGAAAGATTTGCTTTGCGTGCACCTTCGCGTGTGGTGGCAGGATCTCGCTTTTTTGTTTGAAGATTGGATCTGAACTTTTCTTCATTCAAGAATGATGTCAGTCAGACTAAAAGGGGCTCTTCATCCAAGAATGAGCTAGGCTGGCCGGCGTCTTTATTTTATGAAGATTGGCTTCCCTTTAAGGTAGTTTATACTCACTTACTCCTTAGAGTAAGGAGAATTCCATCTTTTTTTCGGGTTCAAAAGCTTTGGACGGCTGTGTCACTGCGGTCTGATTCACTCACCATGCTAAGCGAGTCGCCCTGAAGGCCTAGCCTAGTTTATGCTTTTTGGCTCCTTTCTGAGGTCTGAGGAAGATTTAGGCTATTTCTGTTATGCTTCCGAAGCCTAGACCCACCTTTCACCTTGGCTTGGCTACAGGTTCAAATCCATCCTTTTTTTTCTGCTTTCTTATCTTCCTTTCTTCGAACCTTTTGGTATGTATTGTCCCCTAACTATAGATCAGATCCACCGGACGAGAAACTCAATTCCGCACTGCTGCTGAGTCGTCGGACTTATCCAAAAAGGGATTTTTAGAATTTCTTTAGATTGCGTTGAGGGAAATCTACCAAAGCTAGGCAGATAGATAGACTCCTTTCCCGCTGCTAAGAGAGAGCAAGAAACAAAATCAAATGATTGTTTTTTAACCAGCGCTCTCTTTTGAGTATGCAGGTACTAAGAATCCTCTCACTACCAACCAGCAGACATCATCTGGCTGGGTCTTGCCGGTATCAACAACGAAAAAAAACAAAATAGAAACAGCAACTAACTATGGCTCTTGGCCCAGACAACGTCCTAGGCGTAGAGGAGATCGGAGCAACAGAGAACGCCTAGACGATGTTTTTCTTCCTGGGCTGCAGTAAGTAGATCGAGAGGTCGTTCCGCCCCTTGTCCCCGAATATTGGTAATATGTTCTCATACAATGTTGCTCCAATCTGACCTAGCTGGCGAGCGATCCCAGTTCGCGGCAGAGAACAAGACAACAAGCGAGCGTACCTTTGTTCGCTTCTTCTCCACCAAGCACGGAAGTTTAAGGATAACTGTAGGTCGGTGGCTACCTAAGGAAACTCCGATTCGATCCGCCCCCCCGGCTGGAAGGCATCTACCTCATCACGATCACAAGGAGAGGTTCACCATGATGGGGGGTACTTTATTTTCCCTTCCAGAAAGAAAGAAATGCATAAGGGACCATCCTTTTGTTGCGGCATGCTCTTAAAATTTACGGATTAGAAGGGGGCCTCAGGCCTTACTTAGTCCCGCTAATGTAGGGCTAAGTAGCCGCCTTTTGAATTGAATCTTAATAAGTAGTCTATCAGTGGTGCGAAGCGTTACACGCCTTTTCAGTAAGGGAGCGAAAGGTTAGACCTTAGAAAGTCAGCGAACAGCGGTTCTTCTATGTAGGTATGGTGTTATCCCTGGACTCTTTTAACGTCGAGTGACTTCGTAACCTTTGCGTAGCGTAGTAGAATGAAGGCTACGCACCGACGCTCTCTTATCTATTAGTCTAAGCGTCTTCGCTAACTCGCTCGCCTACTATACTATACCCTACTTAGCCCTACATTAGCTTGACAAGCTGCCCTTCCTCTTGATCTGAGGTGCGAAGAGAAAGATCTCTTTTTTATGACTTCAATTTCTGGATTCCGGCCCGGAAAAGTAAGCAAGCAGGGCCCTATTGATGAATGAAAGAAAAGGTTTATGAGCCCTAGCCCTGTAAGCCCACACCTGTGTAGAGTAGATCGTTCAACACCTGCGGCACAAAGAAATTTTTTACCTATTGGTCCTAGTATCATAGGCGACCGAACGGCCGCCCCCTATAATTACTAGACCAACCTGCTATAATAATTCCATAAACACCTAGCGAAGATATGGCAAACAAATAAAGTAGCCCTATGTTCGGATCTGACAATACCATACCATAATCAAAAGGTACAACGGCCCGAGCAACCAGACTTAGCATAAATGTAGTGACTGGAGCCATTCTAAAAAGGGAGAAATTAGCACTACTTGGTGAAATAGGTTCTTTTAGAATCAATTTCGAACCATCTGCTAGAGGTTGTAACAATCCGAACGATCCCACTACATCAGGACCCTTTCGACGTTGCACAAAAGCCATTACTTTACGTTCAGCTAGCACTAAAAAGGCTACTCCTAGTAGAAGTGGTAGAATTATTCCAAGTATTTCAGCTGGAACAGCTATGTACGTTTTCGATTTTCTATTCACTCATGATCTGGCCTGGTCGACCCGATCATGATATTTGACTCATGATCTGGCCTGGTTGACCCAATCATGATATTGAAGGATGGGACCTTTTCTCGAAAAACTCCGGATCTCGAAAAAAGCGGAAGATGATGCAAGATCGAATCTCTTCAATCGAAGCTTCCGGCTTGATTCCTTTTCGCGAGTTTTCGCTAGGAATCATCATGTCGATTGCTTTCGTTGGAGAAATCGGTGGCGTGGTTACCTTACGGTTCCCTCGGCTTTCAAAAATGCGTTTTGGATTCGTGGGATGGAAAGGATTTTCCATTTGAGTTCTTCACACCTTTCTTTTAATCGAAATTCTTTGCTACTTCGTGCCTCTACTTCAATGAAAGCTAGCCCCTACTCCTTCTCCTCCTGAATCCTCGTTGGTCTTTCGTTCGTAGTGCGAATTCTATAGTGAGAAAGCTCACCCCTCCCTTTAGATGAGAAAGCCCTCTTTTACATCCTCTAGACAAATCAATATAAAATGCTACAACCCATTGTTGTTCTTTTGACGATGAAGCACTCCAGTACAACAGGCTAAAGTAACCTCTATGCTTCGTCCCCGGCGCGTAGGGCCGATCCCCGTGTGCTGGAGGGACGACCAGAAAGTGTGTTAAGCATATTCAAACAAAAGAAGCAAAAAAGGGAAATCAAATATTTGTAAAGGCAGCAAGGGGTTTCGCCTTCGAATTGAGTAGTGAGTCTTCTTTCTACTCGATCGAAACTTTAATCGAAAGTAGACTCAAGCCTTACCCCCTTATTATATATGTGTATGTGATTTAGTTCGAAATAATGGACTGATCTTTCTCCGCTTTAAAGAAGGTCTATTTCTATCTACTCTATCTATGAAGGAATTCGTTCATAGAATGCTTTTTTACTCTACTTTTTGAAAACAGGCGTACGGGATAGACCCGGAAGAGGAGATTGTACCAAAGGAGACCCGTTTTCCCGATCGTTTGGTTGGGTGTGCCCTTAGTCGCCCCGGAGAAGCCATACCCTTAAGAAGCTTACCCAACGCATCGCTTAACTCCTAAGATAAGAAAGGAAGACTTCTTCGATAGGACGAGGAAAAAGAGACTATTCTGATGTTTGAAAG